TTAGGGCTAGAAACTGAGGATCAGGTAAAATATGAATCTGATAAGGTAGTTTCTAATAATTCATGAAATTGATTAGAATATTCCCACAATTGTAAGTAGATGTGAGATCTATAAATCTTTGTTATTCATAGTTGTAGAAGCGGTTTTGTTGGAATCTTTTTTTTTCTTTTAAGGAATTGGTTAATCGTCCAGTAACAAGTAAGAATAGCAAATTTTATTCGATAAACGAAAAAGAACAAAGAATGAAATAATTGGAATCACTAATAGTGCATGCAGTGTTGTATTAGATCAAAATCGGAAGGTTCTTTCTTGACCTAACTACAAAAATGCAGATTTTTGGAAAGATACAAAATAGAACTTCTAAAGCAAAATAGAATAGAAATGACTAGTCTTAGAATATAGTTGAACCAAAACACCTATTTTTTTTTCGAGTGATCATGTGATAACTTTTTGTTCTCATTCATTCAAGATATTATATAAGTGAACCTATTACGGAATCTAATTAGTTAAAATCAAAGTAAAAGTTTTATAAGATTACTGTTCGCTCTAAAATATAAAATTGATTCGATACAATAAAAAAAAAAAAGAAATGATAAAAAGAGGAATAATTTAATAATTTCATTCCATAATGATTCGAAAAGACTTTCATTTTAAAACGAAATTAAATGACCCAGTTCTTATTATTCGTTTCTAAGTTGAGTTGAAAAATTATCCAAGAATGAATTCGCTGATTGGCGGTATGGGTAGATGTTACAGATGATTAATCCATTTTTTTTTATACAGTTGTGACTTTCTCCTTGTTAGTGCTGTCTATAATGATAGATCAATCAAAACCTTTCAATTGGACTTATTCTTTCAATTGGTATTTTTTTTTATCTCCTATTTTGCAAAAAAGGAAACTCAGGTAAGTGCTTTTTTATAAACATATGTATAAAAAGAACATATTTCATTTAGCTCCTTCATGCTTACCATAACTAGTTATTTCGGTTTTCTACTGACGGCTTTAACTATAACCTCAGCTCTATTTATTGGTCTGAGCAAGATACGACTGATTTGAAATTCATTGCACAATTCATAAAAGGAAATCTTTCCGCGAACTTCTGTGTATTTATAGTTACTTACCGTGTCCATTGCCAATTCTTGGTCATTGAGATTCATGGTAATTCAGATTAATATTTAGGTATAGATATTACCTCTTTTTTCTCCTTTCAAACAAATTGAAATGATTGAAGTTTTCCTATTTGGAATCGTGTTAGGTCTAATTCCTATTACTTTGGCTGGATTATTTGTAACTGCATATTTACAATACAGGCGTGGTGATCAGTTGGACCTTTGATTAGATTAATTAACATCTCTTTTTTTGATTGACCTCCTCCTTTCTTTAATATCCAGGAGGTCAAATTCAGATTGCCGTTCCAGTTAGTGCTTCAACCGAATTCGATCGAAGAAGATCCGAATCACGCTCTGTAGGATTTGAACCTACGACATCGGGTTTTGGAGACCCACGTTCTACCGAACTGAACTAAGAGCGCTTTCTTATCATAAAAGATAAGACTGTAAATAAAAGGATTGGCCCCAATACATCTTGTATGCATACACTATCATAGTATCATAACAATGAAAGATTCTATATGATATGTCCAATGTGAATTGATCTCAAAAAATCCCTCGTTACTGCTCAAAGGAGCAGTAATAGGTAGGGATGACAGGATTTGAACCCGTGACATTTTGTACCCAAAACAAACGCGCTACCAAGCTGCGCTACATCCCTTCCATTGGTCTACAGTGTCATTGTAGAGAATTCTTGTCTTGTTTTCCACATCGTTATCTCCTCTATTAAAATCTAGAATTTTTATGTCCATTTCGTCTTTTTGTTCTCATTTAACATATAATAATAGTAAAATACTTCTATCTATATGAAAAATGGAATGGAACCCCTAGGAAAAATAAATGAGTTGGGGGAATATTGGGGAAGAAAGGACTTTCTGTATTTAACAAAAAGTCAATCTTATTTACTGGATGATTGTACATTTCAATATGTTTATGTATTACAATAAAATGAAGGAGGTTTTTCAATGCGAGATCTAAAAACATATCTTTCCGTAGCACCGGTATTAAGTACTCTATGGTTCGGTTCTTTGGCAGGTTTATTGATAGAGATTAATCGTTTTTTCCCGGATGCGTTGACGTTCCCCTTTTTTTCATTCTAGTTATTGACGTGGGAAGGAATAAAGAAGATTAGAGATACAATTAAATACCAGCCCCCCTTCTTTTCTCTTTTTTCCCTTTAAAAAATTTTAGAATAAGGGAGGAAAGAGAAAGAATAAAAGTGCATTCAACAGCTGCGAGACTCGGGTTCAGGTTGGAATTAAATTAATATGAAATTTCTATGTATTCAATTTCTATGGAAGTAGAATACAAACTGTGGTTCTAGGGAAAGAGTATTATATAAGATACTTATATGAAATACTGTACTGTGATTTGAAATCTAGTTTAGAAATCTTTCTATCTTATTTGCTATATTGATTGTAGTGAAATCTTGCATAAGAGGATAGTAAGTTACAAATTCTATTTTGTTTTTTCCTTTCTTCTTTTTCGTTTCGGATTGAAAGAGGAAGAGTTGAGTAAATGAAAAATCCAAAGGAGGTTCATGGCCAAGGGTAAAGATGTGCGAATACCGGTTCTTTTGGAATGTACCGCTTGTGTTCGAAACGGTGTTAATGTTAATAAGGCATCAACGGGCATTTCCAGATATATTACTCAAAAGAACCGGCACAATACGCCTAATCGATTGGAGTTGCGAAAATTCTGTCCATATTGTTACAAACATACGATTCACGGGGAGGTAAAGAAATAGATCGAACCGAGCACCTGCGCCCTTATCTATCTTACAAGGAAAAGGAAAAAATGACATTATATATATAACATATTTAACATAGTTAAAGATAATTATAAACAAACCAAATCCTATTTTTTTATTCTAATTAGAGATACGGCTGAAATAGGATTTTAGGGATAAGAAATAAACTAACCAAACCATGGATAAATCCAAGCGAACTTTTCTTAAATCCAAGCGATCTTTTCGTAGGCGTTTGCCCCCGATCCAATCGGGGGATCGAATTGATTATAAAAACATGAGTTTAATTAGTCGATTTATTAGTGAACAGGGAAAAATATTATCTAGACGAGTGAATAGATTGACCTTGAAACAACAACGATTAATTACTATTGCTATAAAACAAGCTCGTATTTTATCTTTGTTACCTTTTCTTAATAATGAGAAACAATTTGAAAGAACCGAGTCGACCACTAGAACTCCTAGTCTTAGAGCCAGAAAAAGATAGGTTTACTCTTTATTCACTTGAATTCGAATTCCCATCCGAACTCAAACGGGGATTGATATTTTGTTGGAAAAATCCAAGAATCCGGATTGAATTCTCGTGTCGTAAGAAAACAAATAATAATCTGGGAAGAATAAATTTTTTTATTTAACTTGTTGATTCATATTTATTTTGACTACTTTCTCATATCTTATCATATTCTATTCATTTTTATTCGACCTTCCCGGAGTTCATTCTCCGGGCAACTCCGTTTAACCGGTGGATTCCCTCCAACCTACTTCTTTTATGATCTCATTGGAAATCATATAAAGACAATTCCTATTTGATATAGCTATTTGTGCAAGTATTTTACGATTAAGAAGCAACTGTCTCTTGTACAGACCGTTTATTAATCTACTATAACTATAGCATACCCCCCTTTCACGAATTGCTGCATTTATTCGAGTGATCCACAAACGACGAAAATTGATTTTTTGCTTATCCCTATCCCGATGAGCCGAAACCAAAGCTCTTATTTTTTGTTGAGTAATAGTTCGAGTAAGTCTTGAATGAGCCCCCCGAAAGCTTGATGCAAATAAACGAATTTTTGTTCTACGTCTCCGAGCGATATATCCCCGTCTAATTCTGGTCATTGAATAAATGAAACTTTCACGAATAACTAATAGATTTCCTTTCTTTCAGTTATTCTTTTGCCCCTTTCCTAGTATATTAATAACAAAACGGATTTTTCCAATGTATAAACTAAAAATTCCAACGGCTTTGGCTACTATAACCTTCCCAACCACGATTTTTTCTTTTTTATAGGCGTTTCGCCTCGAAATACGAAATTGTACTAGACTAGGTATTAAAAATAAATAAAAAAATAGCAATGATAAAGAAATAGTGGATTCCATCGTTTCTATGGTTACTTCTTAAACGGTGAGGTCTTCTCTATACACCGGAGCCTTTACTTCATTTAATCAATGTTATTGCTAACTTGTATAGTTCACATTCTTCGGCTCTACCCATGAATTATCCAGTAATAGGTCTTTCACAACGAGCTCTACCTATACAGTAACGGTATTTAATTATGAAGGTTGGCTGGGTAGCTGACCCTGTTAGTCCGTTCTTGCAAGAGGGGTCTATATTAACTAAGATTTCCTCCGCTTAATGGATAACCATTTGCTACCAATGGAGAATTGCTTCTCATCTTGAATTGAGGTGAGTGGATTTACACCAATAGAAACCATAAATTTCATACACAATAAAAGGGATATGCTCCATTTTCTTATTTTTAGATAGGAAATGTAGTTCGTTTTCCGTTCTATCCTATTTGATCATTGATATTCGAACATGGCTCTCTTTCCTTTGTTCTAGTTCATGATCTGAACGAGTCGCACATACACCCTAGTACATGTTCCTCGACGCTGAGGGCATCCCCGAAGCGCGGGGGATTTTGTGACATTTCTAATTGGCTGTCTTGTATTTCTAATAAGTTGTTTAATCGTTGGCATGTTGAATCATATACATAATGGACTGGTTTAGATCGATCCTAACCGCATGATTATGAATTCCTTTTATTGAATAGAATAGTAAATAAAAGTCATAATATATTAATATGAAACTCGGCAGGGGTAATTTCAAATCACGAATTGATGCGAAATCCAGGCTATGCTATTGTCATTCAACCGCTACAAGATCAACAATTCCATAAGCTTGGGCCTCTGTTGCTGACATAAAAACATCTCTTTCCATGTCTTCGGAGACAACCCACAGGGGTTTGCCCGTTCTTTGTACATAAACCCTTGTCAGGGTTTCACGTAGTTTCAGCAGTTCTCCCACTTCCAGGATGAATTCTCCCGTTGCTACTTCAGAAAAAGAACCAGCAGGTTGATGGATCATTACCCTGATGATATAAGAAAATAAAAGGTTTCTTTATTTCGCATGATAAAGGGAAGATAAAACAAAGATAAAATAATAACAAGAAAAAAAGATAGAATCGAACAACCGTACGGGCATTATGCATTGCATACGGCTCTACAATAAAATTGACCCTTACCTTACATCAAATAAAGAAAAAATAGGATCGATCAGACCCCGATCGGTAAATGATCAACTTACCACCCTTCCTTTCGGAGGAATTCAAAAATACTATGATGGCTCCGTTGCTTTATATATTTATTTTATTATATTTTTTTGTCTGTGATTTGTCTGTGATTAAGCAATCCCAAAGTTGCTTTTTTATTTGATCAAATAAACTAAGGAAAAAAGAATCTTGTTTTTTTTTTTTTTCGCTCTATAAATATTGTTAAGAGACCTCTGGTGTGAAAAAAAGTTTGTGACGCTGAACTGGACTTCCGATAAGAAAATCGGAAATACCTTTTTCTCATATTACTCTCTCGATACATAATCTAATGTTTTGAAAACAAAATTTCTTATATCGAATTCAAAGTGCCATGCTATTATTACTTAATATTCATACTTCATATGGCGAAGGCATAGTCTTCTTTTTTCTCTCAAATAAAAGCCTCATTGGCTAAGCATTTTATTCGAACAAATATAGAACCAAAATGGATGGTTTTGCGTCTACTGGCTCATTTCACTCTCTTTAAATAAGACCGGGAGTCACTCGCTTCCTAAAGCACGGGAAAGAGAGAAGATCTCTTATTTATGCCCACTCTTCAAAATTGAATTTCCCTTCTTCCAAGAGCTAAATCGATGGCACTTGGGATCCTTATTGAAATTAGATTACGATTACAAAGGCTAAAAATAATCCAAGTTTCTACGTAATCAAAAAGAGCCTAAGGATTAACCAAAACTAAGCACATACTAAGCCCAATAAGACACATTGGCCTAGATATACAAGTTTGGTCCAAACAAGTTTGGACTCACAAGGGTGGTCCAAGAGTTTTATTTTGTTGCGAATTTGGTCAATTTTGTTTTGATTTTTTATAAAATGATGATTTTGCTTTTGGTATTTTCTTTTTCAGTTTTTTTTTATAACAAAAATCTAAAAAAGAAAAGAAAAAAGTAAATACTCATCTCTATCTCTCTCTACACACACACACACACACACACATATATATATATATATATATATATATATATATATATATATATATCGTTTTAACCTCTGGTGAAGGAAGGGAATGAGGAACCGGTGATTTCACAAATTCTCACCCTCCTCCTGTCGAAGCACCACCTAAACACCTCAGCTGTTACTATTCTCGATTCCCTTCTCCCTCTTTCCTTCCTTAACTCACCGGAAAAACGAAATAGAACGAAGGGGGTTGTTGCCCCCATCTGCTGTCGGTTCCGTTCTCCTTCTTTTTTTAGTTAAATTGAGCATCAATAGTGCTCTCTATCGGTCGACTAATATTGTTGTTTCCTTCTTCGGTTCGATTGTTGCCAGAGACAAGGTCGAAGAGGCCAAGAGGATTGCTGGAAAAACGGGCTCCCCTTCATCGTGATTCCCCAACCACCATCGATCCACCCATGTTGTTGCTTCCAATCGAGTTATTATTCTCGATTCGTCGTAATGAGATGTTCTAACATCGATGATGGCTTTGTTCTTCAATTAGGGTTTTTGTCTTCATTCTTCAGTTAGGGTTTTCTGCTTCAAACCTATTCATCGATCTGTAGATTTTTTGGGTTTTTGAGTTCTAAAAAAATGTTTTTTGTTGTTGAAATCGGGTTAGAAAACACACACATAAAAATGTTTTTGTTCGTGAAATCATCAATTCTACTGTGCTCTTAATGTTGTGTATAAGAGAGATGGAGTATATATACTGATTTTTGATTTTCAGATTACAACAACACATACATGTTGTAGTTTTATCTCCAGATCGAATTTTCGAAAATCGAAGCATCAAAGAAATAGATTTGGAACACACACAAGATGACAATAACACATACAAAAAATCTGGAACATGAACACATACAAATACAAAATATGAACTCAAGAGATCAAATTTCTAATTTTTGTAAGCAATAACAAGTTTGGGTTGTATATATATAATATATATATATATATATATATATATATATATATATATATATAGAAAGAGAGAGAGAGAGGTAGAGAAAAGAAGAAGAAGAAGAAGGGTGGAGTGATATATATATATATATATATATATATATATATATATATATATATATATATATATTCGTTTCTTCTTTTTTGTTTTTTTTTTGTAATAAAAAAACAAAAAATGAAAAATACCAAGGGCAAAATAAATCTTTAAAAAAAAGTTTTGAAAAATTTGGAATAAACTCCTAATAAAATGAAACTTTTTAACTACTTTTGCAAGTCCAAACTTGTTAGGACCAAACTTGCTAGTTTTGAAATACCACGTTAACCATTTTTGTATATTTATCAAAGGTAATACTCGAAAGTTTACAACTGAACTGATTGCCTATTATAATATTCTTACTTAAATGATAAATAATATTTAAAATAAAACTTATGAAGTAAACTAAATATATAGTTTTGGAATACAACTTATTTTAAAAGGAATATGCTTTGACCCGATTTCATGTCCCGCCACCGCCAATTACGACTATTGATGAATCAATTTTAGACCTATGATCGCAGAAAGAACCGACGTGATACTAACTAAGAAGAAAGAATCGAAATAATAGCATACCTGCCACATATGATGCGTATAAAAACTTTTAATCCGGTCGAGTGCATCTTCCCTCTAAATCTTTATGATATATATATATATATATATATATATATATATATATATATATATATATATATATATATATATATATATATATATATATATATATATATATGACGATTCACTTAAAATTAAAAAAAGATTAGAGTTTTTGAGAATCAACATCGGCCACATATGTCTCCTTTGTTGTTCTAATATTTCAGCATATCGACAATAACGGGGTATGCCTAATTATAAATGATTATATGGTAGAGATATATAATCATATTATTATACATGTTTATTTGTATATGCCTAACCATAAATAATTATACATATATTTCTGTTTACAGATTGAGTAATCATATATATATATATATATATATATATATATATATATATATATATATATATATATATATATATATGACAGTTAGTAGCAGAAGAGGTGGTAGCGGCAGAGATGGTGGTGGTATAAGTGGTTGAGGTGGAAATTGTGGGCTCAGCTGGTGGCAGAGGTAGTGGTAGTGGAGGTGGCGATGAGAGTTGTGGTGGTCGAGGAAAAAAAAGAACAGACAACGCTAAATAATCATTTATGATTATAAACTCTCCGGCTGTACCGGTATGCTTGTGGTTAGTACAACAAATAAGAAATATGTGGTTGAAGTTGAATCGCAAGATAATAACACAATTAGGCACTATTATGCTATAAGAATAGAAAAACAAAATAACGACCGAAAAATCCAATCAATTTAAATTTTTTCAAAAAACAACTCGATTTCATTAAATTATTACAAAAAGGTTTTCAATACAAATCATTTAGAGTATTCCCAGAATCACATTACTACAAAATCATGAGGAGCGGTACGATCATGCCTTTACCTTGTCACGGTCTCCTAAAGAACCTGAAAAACATTAAACCGCAACTGTAAGCCCGAAAGCTTAGTGAGATACCCCCAAAATACCAACCACATATACCATACACATATCATGCTATCTCATAACGAATCACAGAACAGTCATCCATATCGGGTCTACTGTGGTACTGGTCCGCCTTGTCGGGCCTTCAGTCCACCTGTCCACCCTCCGAGTCCATTCATGTCCCTCAAGTCTGCAGTGTGGTTGGTCCACCCGCACCAAGCCTTCAACTCACTTGGTCCACTCTCCGAGTCCAATCATGTCGCTTGAGTCTGCAGTGTGGTTGGTCCCCCGCACCGGGCCTTCTACTCACCTGGTCCACTCTCTGAGTCTATAGTATGACTGGTCTGCCCGCATCGGGCCTTCAGTCGGCCTGGTCCACTCTCCGAGCCTCGGCACGTCTGGTCCGCCCTCGTGGGGCCTACAGCCTATCCGGACTGCTCGCTGGGCCTTCGGAACCATCGGTCCGCCTTGGGTATCTTGGCCTACAGCACAAAGCAGGACCCGCCTCAACCCAACTCCAGTCCAAACAACCATGTGCACATAAACATACAATCACATAACAATTCACATTCAGGCAAACCGATCTAGCAGATCACATAGCACAACATACTCTAACAGGATTCCGACCTAACCGGTCACTAGCATAGCATCATCCTATCTACCAGGATACCGACCTTAACAAGGACTCTAACGAATACCATCCTAACTACTCGGATGCAAACATATCAAAGCAATAACATAACAACAGATACCCGGATCTCAATCCGATAAAGGGCCGACCTTGGTGCCTTAGACCCTGTTGATATAGTGAGGATAACTCACCTCGAAACTGCCGGCTGAAAGGATAAGATCCCGCTGCTCCAACTCCAACACAAACTCCTCCACTGAACACCAAAACACTCAACTCAATAAATACCCTTAATTACCAAAATACCCCTGGAAGACAACTGGTCAACCCTTGGATAAGGTCAAAGTCAACCCCTGACTGACTCTACTCGCCGAGTCCCCAAGCTCAGAACTTCCCTCAGTCCGCGACCTAACTCGCTGAGTCACCCCGAGACTCGCCGAGTCCAACAACTCTGAGTCCACTCGCACCCATCTCACCGAGTCATCCCTTGACTCACTGATTCTCGATTCAACCAGAAAATATTGGGACTCTTCGACAAGACTCGCCGAGTCCAAGAACAGACTCGCCGAGTCTAAGGCTATCTTCAACCTACTCGCCGAGTTGTTCATCTAACTCGTCGAGTTCCAGCTCATCCTCAAGAAACTCGTCGAGTCCACCCATGCGACTCGCCGAGTACCACCGGTCTGAATCCATACAGAAGCATTCCAGGCCATGCAATTGATCCAAAACATAGATATAGCCTCCTACAACCCATCCATCACGTAAAGTGGCAGCTTTACGTGAATCCAAAGAGATCTAGGCCTTATACACTTTAGAGCTAGGGTTTGGGACATGATGTCTTCACTAGGCACTCAAACACAGGGACTTTAATGCACTCTAGACCTTCCCCATTCCAGATCTGAGGTAGCAACCTCAGATCTAACCTCCAAACTCCAAAACATACCAAGATAAGCTCCCCATAAACCCCAAAATGATGAATCCATATGAGTAACAGCCCAAGAACTAGATATTACCTCAAAAGAACGCCCCAACTGCAATGAAACTCGAATCCAAGCAAAGCCCCTTGCTCTAAGCCTCCAAACTCCCAAGATTCCTTCAACAAATACCCTTCAAGCTCCCAAATGCACTTTGATCCACTCACACACGAATGCTAAGGGTTTTTGGACTTGAGGATGATTAAAGAGGCTAGGGGAATGGATGTTAAGTTCTTTATATAGGGCTCAACCCCGAGAATTAGGGTTTTCTCCACTCAGCACCTTCTCGCCGAGTCCATCTTTGGACTCGCCGAGTAGGCCACTTGACACGCGACCAAAGTCGCGACCCTACTCGCCGAGTCCATCCATGGACTCGCCGAGTTTCCCTTCAAAATTTACAATTTTAGCCTTTCAACTCTACTCTTGATATTTCGGGATGTTACATAAATTTAAAACAAAAATTCTATCAGTTGAAGATAATAACAAATTGTATTAAAATAAATCAATATCAAAATTGTTTCACTTGCATATGATCATCCAGTAAGACAACTATAAAGGATAAACTCATATGCAAACTACATGATAATTACTAAATTGATTATAAAAATAACTAATGAATATGCTAATGAACAAACAATAACATATATCAAAACATTATATATTATTAATATTTATTGAATGAAAACATAAACTTACAAGGAAAAACCCATAAAATTCATGAATCCATATCATTATTATACTAAAATAAAACTCCATAAAAGCTCATACAACTAAATTGAAAATATTATTGAACTTCGAATATCTCATGACAAATTGAACTTCTACTCTCTCTTGACCAATGCATGAGGACAGTTTCTCCTATCATGACCAACATCAAAATCAAATCTCATATCTTCTTCTTTTCTTCAAATCTTAATTCACTTTGGATTCCTTGACATTCCGAACATTGTTATTAGAAAAGTCCTTGTCATTTTTATCAACATTATATTTGTTCTGAATATCAAAAAAAGTATAACTAAAACAATAAATTTCATCAACAACATCCATAAAACGAAAAATAAATAAAGAAATAATATATGAAAAAAGATAAAGATGAAGAAAAAATATCTCCAT